ATGTCAGCCGAGGAAATGATCTGGTGGTGGGTCCAGACAATTAGATTAGATGTGATGCTGGCGACGAAACAATCTACATATGCCGCTTGCTGTCAATTCCTGTCTCTGCAAACGGCCATTTATCGCGAAGCAAAAAGTTTCTTTCGCGCATCCTTCGCGAACTGCATGTGTATCTTTCGCGCAACCCATGTTGAGCAATAACTCCGCTTATGAAGATTCAATCGGCACAGGCCAAATCACACCAAATTAGCACGGAAAAGTGCTTCATAGCCTTGCAAACATTGTGCTAGCATCACGGAATCCCCTTCGCGAACAGGTTCTTGCTGCTGAGGAACTTTTTTAGCAAGGCTTACTGGGCCACGCCCTTCAAAATGCCCTTTAACTTTACCTAGTCTTTTGCAGCACTTGCGTGCAACTGTCGTGCAAAGACTTGTCTCCGCAGACCACAGCCAGGAGCACGGGGGGGCGGCAAAGGAAAAGCAAACACCAGGTGCCTTGGTGTTTGGCTCTTGCAAAGTGTCCCTGTTCGAAGCTTGGCTGCTGCATTTCGCGGTTGTTTCTTGAGACTTCAGAAAGCAACGTTAGGCAGGACCAGCGGCAGGTGCAAGGATGTGCTTGGCCACCATGGTATTTGGCTCTGGCGAAGCGTGACCTTCGGAAGCTGGCTGCTACCTATGAAGGGAAAAGCCAATGTGCGGTCCCAGTCTCCTGCCGGACCCCCGACAGCAGGGAGGCGGTGGTAGCCCTTAACAAGCGGTACTGTAGACAATGAGGATGATGCATTCTAGCCACCGTTCGCGACACTTTCGCGAAGCAAACAGTTTCTGTTTCGCAAACAAACTTTCGCGCGGGGTCCCAGCACAAATGAACTGTGTTTGCAATTGAAACTCGTTATCAGGACCTTCAGATGGATCACCACATATATATGTTTATATGCAGAGATATATTTCGATATATCGATAGTGATAAATCTTGAATCAATGCGTACAAAGAAGAAGGATTGCCTATGCAAGACCAACCACGTAGATAGCGGTCCAATGAGTTCAGTTCATCCAAATCAGGCTCGTGGGTGCCCAGACCAAGGTGGCCTACAAAATGTTTGACTGCAAACACGATCTGCTGCAAAGCTGCCAGGTCTACTGATGATCAACTAGAAGCTACGTCATGCTGCTGCCACACGATCGGATTAGTGACAAAGGTGGCCTACATGAACTGCAACTTTCAACATGAGATAGAATGTCGTTACAAGGTAACCCAACGGAGATGCACCTTTGCAGCCCAAACGTAAAAATGTCCTTGGTCTGCCGCATCTCGCCAGCGTGCGCCCCGTGCCCGACATGGGGAAAGATTGGGCTGAATGCCCTTGAAACGGAGCGCCGTGCATGATTGCCAGTCGACGGGGCGGGCGAATTCCAGGAAGCAATGAATATGTAGACGGCCAGCATCCTCCGAACGCAAACTTGATTCCATCGTGGCACTCCATTTGCCGACCCACTCACACGTTGCAAGCCAAGTAAGGAACTCATCGAAATCCGCCAGCTGCAGCTGCAAGGAATTGTAGGTTACCAACACTGCTCGTGCTCGAAGACGAAAAGGGCGGGCATCACCTGTGAAAAATGTGCAACAATGAAGTGGCTGCGACTAGGACTCATGACTATACCCCTTCTAGTTCAGTCTCTCCCATCTGCATGCAAGGCTGAGGCTTGCCTACTGTCACTGATGCATGTCATGTCCATCCACTGCTCTAGGTCTCTTACCCTCCGGAAAGCACCGTCCCGGATGCAGGGACAGAATGGCAACTACTTGCGGTCTGACCTGGTCCTGGGGCTGCTGCCATATCCACATCCTCTTGGGTCGATGCTGCTGCACCAGCTTCGTCTGCTGCTGCAACGCCCTGCAAAGCTGATTAGAAACAGTGTGAACCAGAAGGCCGTGCAAACCCAGCGAATGGTAGCACCAACCAGGACGGCTGAGCAAGTCGCAGCAGGGTGAGAAATGTGAAAAGTGACCCGAACAACGGGTCGCAGTCTTTAGCACCCGACAAACAGGTGAGGCACCTCATAGAGGTCAATGATGTCTCGCAGCTTCTGAGTGTCACTCGGAGACAAGGTGCAGTTCTCCAGGCGCTGTCGTTGCGCTGCAAAGTCGGCGCGAGACAATTCACCCCGAAATTTCGGCACCTCGAGCTGGTTGGCTTGCAGCAGTTCCCGCAACGACCCGCACGCAGCACGCTTCCGTGTCGTGGAGGATCTCATGGCTCGGCCCAAGTGCAATGCGGAAACATCCTGTCTGCATGGCATGTCTTGGGTGCAAGGCTCCAATGCGATGTGCTACGTCAGTTGCTTGCGACACCCCGCTTTGCTGTCAGGTGGCCCATTTCCTTTGGAGAGGGCTTGACACTAGAAACAGCAAGGAACTCACCACCACGTCCTTAAAGCAGAATGCAGGTCACAGGCTTGAGCATGAAAAAAGCACATGGAGCAGATAGTCTGCTAGGATTCCATTGTCACAAACAGCTGGACGTGCATATGGCCCACAGGTCTGGAAAAAGCGTGTCGACCGTTGACACCCAGGAATGCTGCTGATGATTTCCGCTAGAGAAATGTGACTGGTAGAGGCACGTGTCTGAGTAGCAATATCTACAGAGACGGTCTGCCCCAGAAACAAAACCGCTCACGGCCCATGTTTTCACCCGACGTGACTGCAGTTCTCTCCGGCTGCCGCTTCGCACACGTGCGATCCACAGACGCCATGCTGCGACAGCACTGCAAAAAAAAGGAATGGAAGCTGGAAGAAGGGGTGGAAAAGAGGTAGATGTGATGTGGGAACATGGCCGCTGCAAATGATGGAATGGGAAGGATGTGCATGGGGGTAATGTCTTAAAGCTGCTGTTGCTGCTGCGCGCGACAGTACGCAATTACTATAGGCGGGACCGCAGCGGGACCGCGGCGGGACCGCAAAATGTGGGAATTCCCACGATTCCAGGTTGCAGGCGGGACCGGTCCCGCCGTCGGCGGGACCACTTTACCTGTGAATTTATAGGAGCGGGACCGCATACCCCGTTTGGGAATTATAATAATATACCAGGGGGGGTCAGGTGATGTTTTGGAGGTGGGGTGTGGGAAGATTCTTGGGGAGGTGATGTTTTGGAGGTGGGGTGTGGGAAGATTCTTGGGGAGATATCTTGTCTATCTAGCGTTGTATCCCTGGATGTCTTCTAAATGGGGTCTCTGGACCGCGCATGTCTTCCAAGCGCTTTGTCTTCGACATGGCGCTTGCAAGTCTGCGGTTTCCAGCTTTCACTCCTGCCGCGCTATGCCTTTGGCATTGGGATTTTCAGCCTTGACATGGTCTCATTCCAAGCGCTCTATGTCTTGACCATGGCGCTTGCAAGTCTGCGGTTGCCAGCTTTCCCTCCTAGTGTCCATGCCTTTGGCATGGTGCTTTCGAACCTTCACATGGCCGCTCTCACTCCAAGCGCTCTATGTCTTTGGCATGGCGCTTTCCACATAGTGCACGGCTTGACTCTACTCATGCGGGCTTGCCATTGGATGCATGCGACGTGCCAGCAGCCACGTCAAATCACTCACATCCAGCTTTCCTGCTTGTCGTAGAAGACGTCTTCGTTTCCTTTCCTGCAGGCTATGGAGTACATGTCTTTCAACATGGGTTCAGCGTTCACATGTCCCACCTGCACTCACGAAAAGACACCGTATCCATGCATTTACATGCACTCTCCTGGTTCTGTAGTTCTTTGGTGGCTGCTGCTAACTGGCGTTTCAAATTTTTGCGCTCTTCCTTCAGCACAGCAACCCTATCAGCCGCGGCCGGTGGGGCTGCAGCTGCCGCGGCGTTTGCATCAGCAGCGGACATGGCACTCAAGGCGGGCGAACAACAGGCTTGCTCCACTCAAACTGCATGCAGTCCTCAAGATGATCCTGTGTTCTCTTTGTGCTTGCCTGGTACCTCCTTTTCACCCCTGTTCACGACCCCAGAAACATGGCTACGAGAATGTGACAAAATGGTCATGCACCGATGTACCCTGATAGTATATGTATTATGTATATACATATATGTATATTATGTATATATTATATATTATATATATACTATATATATCCATATATACACTTCATGGTGTGTTGAAGTGCGGCAAATGGTTGGAAGGTATCCCTCGAAAATGGGGAGTTCAACAGCACAGAAACAGGAGTGCATTTCTATGCGTATATATATACACATATATTCATACAAACAACAAAAATGGAAAATGACAACGACAATCATGGCTAAGCTTCAGTATTCCCAAAAACATGGATAGATTGGCCAACAATAACCTGAATCCATTTCAATCAACAAAAATTTGTAATGGGAAGCCTTCACCCTCTGTCCAGGAAACGGAAAATCAACCGGTTCATAGGGCACACTGATGGCGAGAGCTAGGGTCCAAGACAAATCTGTTTTGAGTGTAGAGAGGTTCCCAACTTAAAATAGACACGTGTTTCCTTATCATATGGATAGTGATCAATTTTGGCAAAACTCTTTTGCGATTGTTTGAATCTAAACCCAGAAGCATGATTGGGCCAACTAGAATAAGAAAACAGAAATATAGGGATTCAACCTTCAAGACACTCTGCAGAAACCAGCAAAGGTGGGGATGCCATCAATATATGTGTGATGAACCTGTGAATATATCAACCAAAATTGGGATCTCCATGTTGAGAAACCCATGAGATGTGTGGGGTATACCTCGCAAATGGCAATGTTGATGAATGGGGAAAATGATGATTTAACCCAGTGGGTTTCAGGGTGCCCAATTTGGAAACAAACCCGGATGACTGAGGCCTAATTTGTGTTTGTTAAGTGACGTGATAAGCGCAAGGCTAAAACATCCATCCCCGTTCTTTTCTCAGAAATATATCATCTATCCTCCAAACATCAAAACCACCCCATTTATTGGAGATGATAACCAATGTCTTCAGCAACAAACTCTGGTGATTCACCTCAATGCCCTTCTCGGAGCAATCAAAGTTCACATCCTTGCACCTGGTCAACTGGATCGACACGAGCTTCCAGAGTGATAGTCATCCTCCAAGTGACTTTAAAATATGTGGACTTCAACCGACAACAATGGAAGAAGTCAGGAAACTCTACATGTAGTCCTCTAAAAAACTGGGAGGGTTATGTATGTATGTATGTATGTATGTATGTATGTCTGTCTGTATGTATGTATGTATGTATGTATGCATGTCTGCATGTCTGTATGTCTGTATGTCTGTATGTCTGTATGTCTGTATGTCTGTATGTCTGTATGTCTGTATGTCTGTATGTCTGTATGTCTGTATGTCTGTATGTCTGTATGTCTGTATGGATGCATGGATGTATGGATGGATGGATGCATGCATGTACGCATGCATGCATGCATGCCGTACGTACGTACGTACGTAGGTACGTAGTATGTGTGTATGTGTGTATGTGTGTATGTATGTATGTATGTATGTATGTATGTATGTATGTATGTATGTATGTATGTATGTATGTATGTATGTATGTATGTATGTATGTATGTATGTATGTATGTATGTGTGTGTGTATGTGTATGTGTGTATGTGTGTATGTGTATGTGTATGTGTGTATGTGTGTGTGTGTGTATGTGTGTATGTGTGTCTGTGTGTATGTGTGTATGTGTGTATGTATGTATGTATGTATGTATGTATGTATGTATGTCTGTATGTCTGTATGTCTGTATGTATGCATGGATGGATGGATGCATGCATGCATGCATGTATGCATGTATGCATGTATGCATGTATGCATGTATGCATGCATGCATGCATGTATGTCTGCCTGCCTGCCTGCCTGGCTGCCTGCCTGGCTGTCTGTCTGTATGTATATATGTGTACATAACTACCACTATACCGGTGTATACCTGTAGAACCTGTGTGTCGGGGGTGTGGCTCGAACTCATAGGATACCTCCAGTGGCCCGAAACCATGGGCCATAGTGGATACCCAAATTTGGACAACTCGAAGTGTGAAGGGAGCAACGTCAACCCGGATTTTAAAAACCTGGCTGATACATGGGCCAAAAATTTATCTGCTACTAACACGTACCCTTAATTGAACAGCCCAGTGGTGTATTGTATAACCAAGGTCTGAAGATCAAACACCATGGTACAGGGCATCCTATCACCGGTGATTCTAAGAAATACTCCGGCTATCTGGGATGAACCTCGAAGTGTTCAGTTGGGGATGGGTCAAAAGCTTCCCATTTTTGGTGGCTTTGAGGTCTTGACCCATACAGATCCATGGAATGCAAGCTCCAGTGCTTTTTTGAGGCCTCGAAAAACGTGCTTCTGCCGCAGATCCAGTCATATTGGAACCCAGGTTTGGTGGTGAAATAATTATTCCATCTCATCGTATTTTGCGAAACATGCATTTTTCATCATTTTCTCTGGGGTTACACCTACTTATGGTTCCTGGGGTGAACCACTTGTAAGTTGGTCTGTGTCCCAATGACCTAGTTCGATGTATCTACCATAAACCATAGTTATATGAGCTATCTGTCCCAAAATAGCCAAAAGAAAACCATTATATAGATCCCATTGAATCCCATTAAATGCCATTCAATCCCATTTAATCATACCTATTACATAAATCCCTTTTGCAGGTAAAATACCCAAATTCGCGGCCCCGAAACGGATCCGCACCCCGCCAGTGCGGTGCCAAGCGTGCCAAGCTACAGATCCTTCATGGACTCGGCCACCTTCTTCAACAGAGCCGCTTGCTGCAGATGAGCCTGGAACCATGGAACCATAGGGGGATATACTACCCCCAAGTTGTGGCGATTTAACAACAAAACCACCAAATCATATCTGGTGCTGTGACAAAATGGTAGGTACCGTGATGGGATTTGGTAAAACCGTGTAAAACCTGTCATTATTTTCCTGGGATAATAATTATAATAATGGAGATGCATCATATGGTATAATGGTATATAAGTAATCAACTTGATATGATTTTTCAATTCATTGAAAATTGGGTATGCATCCCCCAATGGCCATATCAATAAGGAAAATAATGATTAACCAGTGGATTTGAGGGTACCCTATTTGCAAACAAACCCTCTTTAGTAGCCAATGACACTACTATTTTGGGGGAACCCCCCTATCCAGGGTGACTAGAGATCTAGGTTTCTAATGCGAAAAACATCGAACTAAATGGGTGATTTTCCAGGAAGCCGTTGACCGCCAGAATGTATACAGTAATCCATACACACAGTAAAGCCAGTTATAGGCATAGGTGGCATATCCGCGCTTGAAAAGTTGAATTTCAGAACAAATGTTCAATATGGGTACGCACCCCCAAATTGGAAAGGTTTGTTAAACCGCAACAAATTTAGGTGTTGGGGTCTCCTCCAAAATGAGCGATGTCATGCCAGGCTTAAGTCTTACCGTTGTGTGCTGCAATGGCTGGGGTCACCACCAATCCTGCAAGTGCCTGAATCTGCCAAGGAAAGCAAAATTGTCAGAATTGTTACACATGAATTTGCATGCCCGTCAAAAATGTTTGACTTGTAGACAACCCAAAAATTTAAAAGTTTATAGCCAGCCAAATGTTCCCATTAGGTATGTTTTTGGCTTTCACAATACCTGCATGGTGTGTTTCATGACGACAGCACGCTGCGATCCCCATCCACCTCACCTCCAAAGCCATTGTTGTTGCGGAGATGGCGAATCAAGGCGGCACGAAGGCTGGATGCTGGATGCTGGAGCCACCAACAACCAATAAATCGTGTTGTCCATTCCAAAACCACACATTTTCGAAGGTCCATTTGGGATGAAAACACTGAAAAAATCGATACCAATTTGGGTGTTGTCTTCGAAAATCTGTGGTCTGAAAATGTGGTTTCTATTGACCAATTCGTTGGCAATTTGAGTGGCAGAAAGGATGATAGACCATAGGAACAATATCAATCAACGGTATATTTTCCTGTGTTTTTGGCATTTTTCATGGGGATATATCAACCAGATCGGGTGATGTGGCGGTTTTTTTCGGGGTTGGAATCCTGGGGACACCAACCAAAACCACTGCGACTCAGCAGTTATGAAATGGGATCCTCCGAAATGGCCATAACAGATTACCCATAGGATCCATGATGCTGGTATATATGCTAACATTTGGGGTATATTGATGGGATCCATGTTACCATATATAGCAGCACCATGGATCCTATGGGTTATGAGAAAATGGTGATCAATGATCAGCCATTAGGTTTTGGAGCACGATTCATTAATCCGATTCATCGAAACATCAACTGATTCTACGTATACTTGTCTGAGTTCTCCCATTTTTTGTCTGAAAATAATTTTCCATAATTAATCAAAGATTTCCCTTTGGAATGGTTTTGCGGTTTTTAGAGACGCCCATTCATCACCCATTTTCTGGCAGCAAACTGCTGGCCTTTCCGCCCCGAGTTGCTGCCAGAGTCTTGGATGTTCAACCAACAGCGCCATGGCACATACCAGACATACCATAGACATACCATAAAGATCCATAAAGAACATCTCAAACGACTCTGCCGGCATCAGCACAGGGACATGCTGAGCTATGCAGGAAATCAATGGAAATCAATGTAGAGAACCTCTGTGCCATTCGCTGACATTTGGAGAACCCAAATCATCCCACTCTACTGTGACTACCTCGCCTCCATTCATGGTAAGTTGTCCAGGTTCTTCCATAAGATTGTTGAATGCCTCATGTTGCTGGAAATTTGGGGGGGCTCTTGAGGGCAACATTCATTGATGGATTGAATTTCATTCATTGGCTTTGTTTTTCTTGTTGTTGTTATTATTGGATTTGCCTCATGAGGACCTCATTTTTAAACGATTTTCACGAGCTATTTTTCAACTTTCCCCATGAATACTGCCTTCTGATCACTAACCTGGGCACCAACTTCTTTAGCTGCATCAAGCGCACGATGCGTGCCATACACAGAACCCGCAGAATGGTAATGCGCGAGGCCACTTCAGAAGCCATGTCCATGTAGTTGAAGACGATTTCCTGGGATTTGAAACAACGCAAATCTGGTTGAATAAATAAATTCATGGGGATATGATAGATTTAATTAATAGGAACATGATTGGAAATGAGATTTCCTGCAGTTCTGTTGAACAGCACAATATCTGACTGAATTACCTTCTGCTAATCAAACCTGGTTGGCTGATGTTGGCTGGGAACCCCCCTTTCCACGGAGGTTTTAATCGGGAAAATTGCCATGAATGATATTAGCATAGTCCCTGAAGATAACCAATTTCTAGAGGAAACTATACTAGGGCCTGGTGACATGAGTACTTTGTGGCGATTTTCTCGACAAATGACATAAGTATTCATCCATACGGTTTCGGTCCAGGAACCGGGTTCGATTCAGCGCCTTTTCTATCCACCTACGCCAGTGCCCTACCGTTGCGCTTCGCGCTTTGCACTGATCTCTGCGCATTGGCGCTTCGCTTTCAAGCTTTCCTGGAAGTCCCGCGCATTGGTGCTTCGCTTCCAAGCCTTCCTTGAAGGCCCAAGCATTGCGGCTGTCGCCCGTACACCATGATCATCCCAAAACAAACCGGCTGCTGACTTCTCTGCATCTCCTGTGTTGCGGCACACTTGACCTTTGTACTCCATTTTCCTCGCACAGGTAGCTGCTTGAGCTCTGTCAGTGAGTCGAAGGGTGCACTGATACTTTCCGTCATCCCTGACAGTCTCCCAGGTCCCATATGGAGGATCGTGAGGTTTAGAATGAAGCAAGCGCCTCACTGCACGCTGACAGTGGGACTGACATTTCCAATATGGTTCAGATCATCAACACTTTTAAGTAATGGTCATGATGAGACCAGTTTGAAACCAGTTTCTTCTTACTATTTGCCACTAAGGCACATGAAGAAGGCGGCCGTCGCAGATTTCAGCCCACCAAACTTGCTTGGGTCAAAACCCCGCAGTGGTTGATAAGACCTTGGTCACTAGGAAGATGGTTTTGACATGTTTTGACAGAAAGCTGGAAACTCAGACAACAACATATAAAATTGAAAGACGGCCACAGCTGCGAAGAAGTTTGTTTGTAAAAGTGCAAGACATGGAAAACTACAAGGAGAAGAGATGGAACGAAGTAAAGCTGCAAGACATGCTGTGAAAGAGATCTCGATGTCTCCAAAATCAGAAAACACCAAAAACAGCTAATCCTTTGGTGCTCCGAGTTGAGGAACCGTTTCCGCTTCCACTTGCCCTTCCTCGAAGAAGACGAAGAACTCCTGGCCTTTGGACTACTTGAAGAAGACGACGAATTCCTGGCTTTTGCTCTTCTTGAAGAAGAAGATGAATTCCTGGCTTTTGCTCTTCTTGAAGAAGAAGACGAATTCCTGGCTTTTGGACTTCTTGAAGAAGAAGACGAATTCCTGGCTTTTGGACTTCTTGAAGAAGAAGACGAATTCCTGGCTTTCTGATTCCTTGACATCCTGGCTTCTCGACTCCGCTTCTGTGGCTCAGGGGAATTTTCTGGCCGAGAAGCTTCTGCAGAGACTTTCTTCCTGGCTGCATCTCTGGAAGCCGACTTCTTGTGTCCTAGTCCTACTTTTGGACGCCCATCATGGTCACCATCTCTGGAGACCATGGCTTCGCCGCAGCAGATGACAACTTGGCAACGTGTCAAAATCATGTGGTATTAATGGTTTTGTGACCGACTCCTGATGTAAAAACTCAAGTCCGTTAAATAAAAGTGCAGATTGACCTCTGCATCTGATCTTTCTGTTTTCTATGTTCCTACTTGAAACTGCAGCTTGGTCCCAATCAAGAGCCAGCGAAAGCAGCAACACACAGAAGTATCTAGAGATGGATCTGCCGATCAACTGGGTAAACGTTGACCAATGGTGGATTGATGCCTCAATTCTTTACCAGCTTCAATCCTGCCTATTCTCGGATTCCTTTGCAAGCTCCAACCAGTATTTAGCCACGCAGAAGGCGATGTTTCTATTGACAGACGGGTTGATACCCAACGTTCCTCGTGCTCAAATTTTGTTTGATCCCCATCATTCAGTTGTTGACGCCCAGTCATTTTTAGCTAAAATCAACATCAAATGACATATACTATATCTTTGGTTGATTGAAATCCCATCATATGCTGCATTTCGGGTTATTCAAATCCATTTTTACTTGCGGCATAATTTTGCTGCTTAACTGCCAGCATTGACATCTCCCCATCACCGCGGGCTTGGACCCAAGCATCCACTTGGATGGCACCTCCCAAGGTTGACGACCTTGGTGGGTTGCCATGTTGCCCAAAGATTGGTGTTTGAACCGTGAAATGTTCGGGTTATGACTAACCGGCTTTGATGAGTATGTCCGTTGTTGAGACTATCAAGTTGTGTCATAGAATCAACATGGCAGAGCGGTCTAGGAGTACTTATAGACCAAAGCATCACTGAATGTTTAGGCATAAACATCGTCCTTGCACATCATTTCCACGGGGTTGATGGCAAATTGCTATGGTGCATAGACCAACACGGCCATTCAATAGTGAAGAATAGAAAACCAACCTCATGGTTACAGTGTACTGCTCCGACAATCACCGAGTTCCGGTTCATAACAGCAATTGTCCTACTTCAACCAGCTCCATTCCAACCACCAGCAACCTCGATCTTCCCCCGCTTTCCAGCCATTTCCAGCATCAATCCTCCATGGCAGCCGGGTCACCCGTTGAGGGCGTCAATGGCTTGTGCCACCTCTTCCTTCGAAATGTAGACTGCGGGTCCACCGGCACCTTTGCCCTGGACAAGGCAATGGCTGAAAGGGGGAGAAGGGGGTCCTGGGGGTTCACAACTTTTTAGTCATATTATACTATTTTGTGCATTTGCATGCATTCTTACACATATGTAGGCATATCATACCTATGTCTACATGTATGTTATATAGGTACTTGAAAGTATATAATTCTGCTTGATACAAATGCATGTCTTGATCTTGATGTTTGCACAAATTGCCAATTTTCGTTTTTCTTCGATTTCAACCATAATATTTGAATAAACAAATCCAAGTTGGTGAAACTGTTCATTTGGATCTGATCCCAAATCCAAAAAGCAGTCCAACTTTCCGTCTTTTTCAAGTTGGGAAGTATGGATTTTCTGGTACCCGCATCATCAGCGATTTCTCCCCCCAGCCTCGAATATCTCAACCAACTTGGTCTTGCCCACCTGGTTCATGTGCGGGGGGAAAATATGGTATTCCTTGAAACCCGATTTTTTTGTTCCCCAAAACCAGAGAGACCGTGCTCTGGACCAGTGCTGAGAACTGGGGCCCTACAGATTTCCAGTGCCCCATAGGTCCTGCGGTTGCTTGGGAGGGCGACATCCGAATCCATGGTATCCAACCACTGCCGCCCCAATTTCCCTTGGCTTCGGGTCTCCGAACTTTCCAGGTGCCCGGCCTGGGGCGGGAGTAGAACCGACTATCTCATTGCTGGCGTCGATCTTGCGGTTTGAAGTTTGTACCATCGCATGACCAAGTATTGACACTATATTTGGCAGTTGCAACCAACAGCAATGTAATACTGAAGATAACAACCAAGACGAAATGTGAAGTAGAAGGTTTCCTGTAGACGAAATGTAGATAGTATCAATACACATCCGACCAAAATGCTCGCCATTTTGAGAAATAATCCAAATATGGTGAAACAATGTATATAAAATATACATATACATCATTTGAAACTTGGAACCAGCAAAAAGATTGCTGTGATATGGTTATTTTCCACATGCTTGTTACATGTACATCTACGCAACAATATACCTAGCTTAAATGGTCGTAGCCCTTTTTTGGAAACAACCGCTTGCAATCCAGCCACAGGTAAGGGAATGCCCCACATTCTACCGATCTGGACAAGGTGCGAGATGCCACCAATCCACACCTAGCGCAGTTGAACTGCTGCAAAGGAATCTCAGAAACAACCATAAACACAGAAATGAGGGAACTCAAAAAACCTGGCTGACCTGGCTGACAAACTGTGAAAACCGAACCAGAAAACGTTTTTTCAGAATGCACGGATCAAGATCCCCCTGGATCCATGGTCATCTGCAGCGGAACTTAGAGGTGACACATGACCCCCAATTGAAGCCGAGGTGGAATGTTGTTGAATCAATCCATGGACTGGGGCCTAACCCCATTGGGGTGTTCGCGTCAGAGGATGGGGTTCAATGCCATCCCATGGCTGCGCCTTCTTGGATCTAATGGATCTACACATGGACCCTTGCTGCACTTGAAGAAGCCCTGGCGAGTTTCAAAGCTTTGGGTATCAAGCCATCTGTGCTTTAACTTGGGGTGAAACTGGAGGGCCTGAGTAAGCTGAGTCTCAAAAGAGCAAAATGTGTCCAAGATTTGTGGTTCACTGCAAACATTCACTCACCTTTAAAATTTTCACCTGGACTTCAGGTAAAGCACACAGCATGCCAGTTGGACCCACAATGTGGCAAAAGAAAATATGTCATCCCAGCAACCTCAACCAAAATGGATGGTGAAACCAATGGCAGACCATGCCTTGCCCTTGCCATAGCCCTTAAAACCGCCATGGCCATAGAAGGCTTGCTGCTTCATCTGCTGGTACCTTGGCAACTGGACGTCGAAGACAGTTCTGCGAAGGGAACACAGGTTCAGGGGTTAATCTCTGGCACGGCAATTCTGATAACTTGCATTAGTCTTGTTGTTGCTCTTATTGCCATCATCTGTGGATCCTCTCAAACTTCCCAAACGTTTATGTGCCGCCTTCGAAAGCACCCTATGGACCAAGACCCGCTGTGCCCAGGCAATAAATCTTGATGATGACCTGGTCTAACCACCGGTCTGGTTCCACTAAACTGCTCCGTTGATTCCATATCTCCTGGATACAAAAAAGTGTCCACGGATTGCACAACTCAATATTTTTGTAAATATACCCCTTAGAACCAACCAACTACACAATCCATAACACCAATTGTTGTCACTGAACCACGTTGCCAACTGTTAAATTCATTTCAGGGTTCAACCACACAAGTAACTAACCCACTTTGATCAGGTATATGGTACCCCAAATCCTGACATGCGAAAATTCAGGCTTACAACCACTAGCCGCGTGCGCGCGTCGACCTACGCTTGGGGTCCGTGCAGCACCGGCGATGCCGATAAAGCTTGCAAAAACACGCAAACAAACCAAACTCAAATTAAGTGACTTGACCTCGCTCAATCTCACCTTTTTCTCAGCGCACGAAAACAACCAAAGTAAGCTGTCCGGCTATCTGTCAGCCGCTGTACCGTGCTGTTGTCTTTCTCTCTTATTTGTTGACGTGCACCGTGCTGGAGCATCAAATTCCGAAAGCAAAGTCATCCAGGTTCCAGTGAAAAATCGGCCATGCAACTGTTGTTGAAAAACAAACTTCACATCATCCACAAACATGCCTTTCCAGTCGCTCACATGCAGCAAAAACGTAAAACCAGTTTCACAAAACTTCACGTCCACAAAGTTGTTGAAATAAAACCAGGTTGAAAAAGGTTTGGAGTTTGTTGTCGAGCATGCACATGCGAAGACAATAAACGACATTCCAAATTGCCATGCAAATGGCAAAACCATCTTCATCATCTCCACATCAAATTTCGCAACTCTCCAAAAACCAGTTTTCAGCAAACGTTGTTTTGCACAAAAACATCCTCAACCGTTGTTGATACTCGGCGAAAACCTCATGCAGAATGCAAGCTTCCAGAAAACGTTGAAAACAACATATCATAGTTCATCCGCAGATGACACTTGTCCAAAACAAATCTATTCAATGTAGGCCGTCCATTTCCACGTGAATTCATGGATGAATTCACCATCATCTCGACGCATCCAGTACGATGGCTTGGCACAAACCGGTGTACTTTCATACCCCCTCTTGCCAAGACATCCGTCAACATTGCATTGACCATGCAAATAGGTATAAGCTTGTCCGGAAAGATGACCACAAAGGTGAATTGTCCAGACCATCGCATCAAAAATACGTATATTGTACTGTTGAATTCAATCAGATTGCCAGCCTAATCCCGTTCCAGTTGCAGTGAACTCCAAAAACCTCGTTATAGACAGTGCCACGCGCAGTGATTGCAATAAATTACATCATCTCGAATTGCACTGTGCATCAAAAAATCAATCCAGCAAAACCAGAAGTCCAGAATTTCCGACTGACATAGATCTGAAAGAGATACATTGTCTTATGCAGTCATAGCTGCATCATCATGCAAAAAAAAACTGTCAGCATGCACATGGAAACACCAGGCTAGGGCTTCTTGTCGAAGTCCACATTCATCAACTCCCTGCGGTACGCCGTCGTTGCATACAAAAACACATCCACTCTCATCTTCTTGAGGAAAGCGGCAAGATCTGGAGCTTGCGACTTGGGCGTAGCTGTGATCTTGGACGTATAGTGTGCCAAAATCCACTTTGCATATTGCCCGGCCTCATCATCGTGGTTGAAGACCTTCAGAATGAATTCATGGTAGGACATGTCCTTGTCCCTCCATTTCTTCAGCTTGATCTTCGTGCTGGCCCACGACTTGATGCCTTGCACATGCACTGGGTAAGGCACAGCTGGGTCCATGTCACCGGACTGATAGCTGGGGTACCAACTCTT